TTAACAACATGCTTTAACTTTTGGTCAGAAACTATAGCTTACAGCTACCTTCTTTCCCTTCTCTGTTCGAGGTGCCATCAGATCTAGGAAAAACAATTGTTATTAGTTAGGCAACTATCATCTCTACTGACTGGTGGTAGGACCGAAACTTCTATCTGTAATTTACCATTCTGTCACACTGGGCAGTGACAATGATCTACCAGGATTCTTAGAATCTTATAGCGCAGGATCTTGGATGCTCAGAAGTCCTGACACCCTGCAATTCAGGCACAGCAGCTATAAAAGAACCATGCCGTGCATCTGATGTGTCCTGAAGCATCAGTCTCTCTGATCACATAATAAGCACCAGCCTATATGTGCACAGCCAGTCCTACCAATGTTTGTGGGATTGTAAATTCATTACAGAAAATATAGAGGAAAATTCACATGCACAGAAAAGGCAGGTACCAGGCTCCCCCTTTGGCCCCCTAAGGTGAGCTTCAGCCCAAAGATATGTGAAAGATTCAGGTGCAAGTCAAACTGGACTTACTGGCTTTGGACTAAGATCAGCTGGACACACAGAACTTCATTTTAACACTGTATAGTGTTAAAAACCTGGCACATGCTCTTCAGTATCTCACTATGCAAATTGAAATTTCATAGTCAAACCCTGGGCTACATATGGATTTGTGAAACCGGTATACGAATAGAAATTCTTAATTTTTTTAAGTGGCATAATTTAAAAATGTATTCCATTTATCTGGCATGATTATTATTAATCATTAATCCCTTAAACAACTGTTCCATTCTGTGAAGAAATTGGCTTTTTCTTATTTTAACTCTGCATGTTTGAAGCAGTTTTAGTAGAATGTATTAAGTTTTCTAAACATGCTGACTAAATCATCTGTTCTTTTCAAGTATATCACCTAAAATATGTTAGAAAATAGTTTGCATATTCACCCTTGCAGATTACAAAACTACTGCGAATTAAAAAAGAAAATGCAAAACATGTAATATTTTCAGCAAGATTATTTACAGGTACCTTGTAGGCAGATAAAACTTGCTACAGTTTGAATGTATTGCAATTTATAGCATGTTACTTGTTGTCACTTGATCTGTCATTTAGGTTATGATCCTGCTGACCTTTGCTTTCATGATTAGACCACTGCTTCAAAGAGTGTAGGGTATTAAGGATTACTTGTGTGATTAAGAATGTTTTTTTCATACAGAGAAATTCAAAAGAACGCAGGCAAAATAGAGATAATGGAGTCACAGGCCTGAGGAGGAAGGCTCTACTTTTCAGAGCTACTGGGTTTTTTTGTGAGTTTTTTTGCTGGTCAATACAGACTTACTTAACAGAGTATCTATTTCAACTTCATGCTACTTCTCTGGAACATCTACTTTAACACATCAGGACAAATTGTTTCACTTATTTAAGTGAACTGTGATCTGTGATCATTTTGTCATTGTTCAGTAACTGTCGGAAAGCTTATGTAAATCAATCCTATAAAATTCAGCCCTCAAACAAATGAGTAATTGGTACTTATGAGAAAAACTCCTGTGAGCAGGCATGACATCTTCACAGGATTTGAAGATGCAAAAAAGAGAAATTAAAAGTTTGAGGGTTTTTGACATATTATCTGGTCCTAACAAATATACTTACATTTGTCTTGGTCAGCTTCCACTCCTTCACTTTCTGTGTCACTCGGCAATATCCAAGGTTGATGAGCAAGCTGAAGCTGTTGTAAGAATTCATCCTGCCACAAACAGATCTATTTTAGATAAAATGACAGAGAATGGTTCTATATAAATGCAGACTGTAGCAAACACTCTAGCCTCAATTAACTAGAAAGGAGAAAGCCTTTAATAAAAAAAAAAAATCTTGCTGTGAAATAAAACCAGAATGTAGAGGATATGCAGGCTCCCTAGAATTTTTTTATGTAATTCTTATTTATTTATCTATTGTGAAAAGAAAAAAGGTCTCTTTAGCTATCTATCTGCTATAGCCACAGATATATACATACTCATCTTAGAAATGCAGCGACACAGAACAAAATCTTAATGCAGATATTCCATCTGTCCCCACAGTTTTTGGGCTATGCCTAGACATGTCATGCACAATTTGCTTAAATAAGGCTTTGATTTGTCAGAACTTTCACTGTCTCCAATCTAGTAAGAACAAGGACCTGAAACTTGATTTAGAACCTATGGTTTTATTGGAGAAGGAGAAAGCCTAGGAAGTAAAAATGCTATGGAAACTTTTGTCTCCAAGATACCATAAAACTCTAAGCATCAAAATATAAATGTTTTACATAGTTAAAAATCCATACACAGCTGAATATATGCTTTTTAAAATGTTTTACAACTGCCTCCTTTTTTATATAATGTATATATGTATATAAAAATATTTTTCCATACCCACACACACACATACGTATGTGAGCATGTACACACACAGACATATAAAATACTTTGACAGGTTCCTTTGCAATATTCAAGGTGAGAGATGAGACTGGAATGCACAGTTTTATTTTCAAAAGCAGTTCAAACATACAAGACTAGTCTCTAAAAGAGAACTTAAACATTGGCCGGATATCATAAAATTACTGGCCAGATTCCTATAAGCACCTAAAAAAAACGGGGGGTAATAGCCCTGTCTTCTTTTACACCAGCTGAAAACCAGAATCTACATGTTCAAAGTTGAATTGTATTGCACAGCGCTACAGCATAATTTTTACTTTTAGGCTATCTGGTTTAAAAACAGAAACAAAGCTTGTTTAATCAGTTCTTGGAGACCGAAGTCCGTTCAATCGAGATCTAACTCACTGGGAGTAAATTATTAATTCTGTTAGTAATCTGTTAAAAAATCCACAAAGACTGCTGCAATGGCCCAACACTAAGCTCAGGCAGGAGCTCCAGGTCTTATGTGTGTATTGCCATTTCAAATGTGCTCAGTGTTCAAGAAGGTTGCTGACTACAGCACTGAACTGAGCAAAGTGTATTGGTTCTCGGAACAGGATTCTTGCAGTAGGAGCTAGTGGCTCTCATGCTGATCAGCATACTCTTTAATCTTCCAAAAACACAGAGCAAAGAACTGAGCCAGGCAGCAGAACAGAATGGAAGTATCTGACCAAAAAGAGAGTCCTCATCACATCAAGTTATGCTCTATACTCCAGTAAGTAGGAGGAAAACTTGTGTTAACCACTGCTATATTCAAATAAGCTGAAGTTTCCTGCTGTTAACAATGACAGACCAATAAAGATTACTCAATACCTCTTTAAACTATCTGGATAAATGAAGTGATTGTAAAATTCCAAGTTTCAGAAAATGAAATGGCAAAAAAAGGGAGTCAGTAGTATTTTCATCTCAACAGCTATTGATAACTATCACAGAATTGTGTCACTTTAATGGAATCCATCCTAAAGAGATAAGCAGGATTCAACATTCCTTTGTCAATTTATACAAAACACCAAAGGATAAGGTAAATGCATAAAAGTATCTCTGCCAAAGGATTTGGAACCCTGATTTATTAGTTTTATAGAGATAATAAAACTATTTCTCTAGGTAGCATTTCTTTGCTATAATTCAATTCAGCCTTGAACAGAGCTGATAATAAAACACACCTGTTAGAACTTTGTAATATTATGTGTGCCAAGAGGCAGAAACTCGTCCACAAAATCTCAGATCATTATAAGTCTTGAGCACTAAAAAACCCCAAAACATTCTTAACAGCTCATATGTTAAGTACTTGCCAAATTATTTAAGATTTTTGCTATAAAAAGATTAAACCACCCTGAGCTACAGCATGAAGTTTACTAAAACTTAAGACCAACTCTGAATTGTATTTATCAGTAATATTTTTGTATTTTAGACTTGTTATGTTACTCTGAAACACATTACAAACTAGGAAGCATATATAAGGCATTGAGAAATATATTAAAATTCCTGATAAATAAACAAGTGACAGCACACAGTGTAAACCCATATTATGAATTCTTTAATTCAAGCTCCTTATGGTAAAACATGCTCCTGGTAGCCAGTAATCACATCCTTTTCAACTGACTTATTCTCATCAAATATGTATCATCAACTTTGTACTGGTTAATTCCATTAACACCACCTAAGGGTAAGGAAGCAGAATTATTTGCAAAATCTTATCATAGTATCTTGTATAGGATTGGCAATATAACCACAGCGTATTCACATCCAGTGGAAATTCCCAGTTCACACCATACGGCTAAGAAGAATAAAGGCAATTTCCCTTCTTTTATTTTACTGTTTTTATACAGGAAGAGGATACAAAACCTACAATGAAAGTTGCAAAATAATTTACAGTATCAGTCTTGAGTTTTATATGTTTGTGATCTGTAAAAGTACACAGAAAGACAGAACTTTGTTGTTCTTCTCCTACCCCAGGCCACCTTTGACTTTTTAAAATTTGTCTCCACGGTCAGAGGGAAGCTGTGACACAAGAGAATGAAATCACATGGCCACAAATAGGGGCCCACCTCTAACATGGCAAAAAATGTCACTGAACAGAGATACTTCCTGGGTATGTTTGGTCTAAATCCACTTCTCTAAGTGACCAGGAACTTCAGTGGGCAAAGATAGCTTAAAAGGGCTTTCAAAGCTTCTAGTATAACACTCCAAAGATGGGGCTGGGAACGGAAGATTGGCCAGACCTCCATCTGCTGCTTTCTGACATCCGAGGGCCTTTACAGCTTGGCAGAGGAAGGTCTTCAGTATGAATGTGTCATATTAGCAGTTTTCCCCTTGGAAGCCAGAGCTAGTCCCAAGACAAGTTTCCGTTAAGTCAAAGGTCACTTGCGCACGTCAGGAAAGGATAAATAGGGTTTGAGCTGGGTCACTAGCAGCCAGTGTACTATTGTACCCAGTGAGCAAAGAGAAAGAAAAGAATTTGTCACTTCTAGAAGGGATTATAACAGAGGAAAAGATCCTGCACAGAAATGCTGAGATTTAACACCAGCTTTACAGTGGGCTTGCTGGATGAAGCTGGACATGCTATTCTAACTGTAAAACGGGGTAATAATATTGTTCATTTCTTAAAGTTCTTGAGACATATATATACATATATTAAAAGTATAACAGGACACTTATTGTAAGCGCTATCAGCAAAGCTTAGGATTTGGCAAACAGAAGTAACAAGTCACAGCAAATGAAATGGGACTCATGGTTATTATTACTATAACTACAGAAAGGCTGTGGAAGAAAGCATTTTTAATTGCCTGCCTTGTTACAGGAAACATCAGAAGTGATGGACAGACTGGATTGTCCCTTGGTGGAGATGCAGTGCTCATTACATGGCACTTTCAGGAGTCTATACAATAATTCTAGTTGGCATCACATCACTACGTATTAGTTAAGAACAGGACTGCTTAAAAAGCAAGAAAAAAAAGAGTGAAGTGTTTAGTGGGAAACAACGAAACCCTTCATTTCTTCTGAATATTTTTAGTTGAAAATTAATTTCAATTCTCATTTTCTGGTATGTGAGAAAATTCCGATACACAAACATACCCACCCCTCAAAACAGGAGACAAAGGGGTTTTGTTTGTCAAAAAAGAAATTTGTTACAGTTACATATTTTTTTCCATGGAAAAATTCTCTTTGAAAATATATCAACTGTCAGTGAAGATATTTTCAACAGAACTGTAGTCGCCTTCAGTCTTCATGTCTTTAAGTTGGATATCCAATTCTAGGTGAAGAAGCAGCTCGAGTGATGGGATTAGTGCACTGCCATTCAAACACCAAAATGAGGATTTTTTCACCACCAAATTTAAGTAAGATTTCCTCCCCAAACTCTTTAGAGTTATCTGTGCCTCATTTCCTTTCTTTCATAATAAATAATGGAGGCCATATACTTAATTGCAAGATTACACTAAGTATCAAATCTCTAATTTTCCTACAAGCATCTCCAAGCAATATTATAATAAACAACATTTTTTATTTTTTTAAGAAGTCATTAGACTGATAATACGTTGTGTCAAGTGTCATACCCAACAGATTTTTAAAACAAATGATACTTCTCAGAAACCATTATCTAAAGGTACGATATTTTTTTCAGTCTTGGAAAAGAGCTCTCCAGGCTTTGACAAATGGATTACAAAGAGATTGGTAATAAATGGTGGGAACTGACTTATTCCACCATTAAAAAATTAGCAATCTAGACATTTAGGTCCTTCTCAAGTCAGTATAGAAGGACTGGCATTTCCTGAGAAAAAACTCACCTTTGTAAGGCATGTATCTGAGATAGACAGCAGGGCTATTCTTTCACAGGTGCTTTTATTTCCACTGCCTACACACTAAAGTTATCTTTAAGGCAGATAAGGTTAGCAGAGGAGAACCCCACTCAAAATTTACAAGGTACTTTAACTTTTTGTTTTATTTTATTTTAAACAAAGACTAATCCTGTAAAAGCCATTAATATGGGACAGGAAGTTTTTATGCTCTGAATCAACCTAGTTAACATGCACATAGTATTAGACTGTGATTCAAAAATGTTGGACATTTTCTCATTGCAGTTCAGTTTTGTGTTTCGGAAACAAACACAAATGGAAAATTTGCCTAACTAATCATTCCAATGTGTCCAAAAAATGAAAGAAAAAGCAGTCCAAGGAAATATTATGCACTGCCAGTGCGGCAGGGAAAAAATACCCTGGAATCATAAAGATAAGATAAAGTTGTGTTTAATATTCCAGAGGTACGCACCTCTTAGAAACTGTAAGGCTAATAAAACTGCTATGCATCATGCAGGCAAAACCCTACGGAGCTCGTGGAAAATTTGGGGGGCACTAGTGTTTCAGTATAGTTTCTGTAATAATCCTGACATTCTCTAATCAGTACCTCCTAAAGCTGAGCAGTATTTCCTTGCTAATCTTCTCATTATTATATTTCAAGTTCTTTTCAGAGAAGTAAGTTACATTAGGTATACTGATGCTACTTCAACATAAAACACAATCTAGTCTTCACGTTATAGCAGCTTTTAAACACAGCAAAAACATTAAATTGAAAATCTTACTTCTGATAAACTGCTTCTCTGAGTAGTGACAGTTCCAACAATGTCTCCACTCATTTGCACAGAAAGCCCTGAAGCAGCGCTGAGGGTCCTCCCCATCTGGCTCTTAGATGTCAAAGATCTGCTTCTTTGCATACTAATGATGCCTTCCCTATTTCCTTGGTTGCTAGGGGTAAGAGGCCGTGACAGCAAGCTATTTGGGGTCACAGGTCTGCTCCCCGGAGTTGATGGAGTTGGTGGCCTGTTGGTTTGTGTACCGGGCGCTGGAGGCCTACTGTTTGCAACACTGGAGACCTGTGTTCTGCTGTTAGTGGGCAGTGGTGGTGATTTGTTTCCTTGGAGCTGAATGTTCTTCCCCATCTGAGTTGGCACCTGAGGCTTCGGATTTTGGCCCTGTGTAGCTTGAAGATTGCCTTGATGGTCAGATGTAACTAAACTATGATGTTGGATACTAGGGCTTCTAGAGACCCTTGCTTCTTCCCATAGTGCTAGGTCCTTCTCAATATCTGTGCACACACACACAAACAAAAAAGAAAAGAAAGAAAGAAACTCACTTTCTGTTTCTCTTTGGCTTAAAACTCTTACTGATTTTCTCCAATGTAAGTGACAACCTGAAGCTGTGCAGAGAAAAGCTATTCACCCTTAAAATATAAGGCATCAGAATTAACAGTTCAAATGTTTGACAAGCATTTCATCAAAGTTTATTTACATTTGATTTACTGCAAACACAGCTATCCCACAGAAACAAAATATTACCACTTTATTGAAAGTCAATACAACCTATAAAAATCCCTCTCATTTCTTCAAAGTTCTCTCTCTGTGGCTTTTGCACAGTTTCTCATTAGTATCAAACCAACATGAAGCAGTGAGCTGAACTTGCCATCCTCAGCTGCAATGAAGGGCAATCCAAAACTGGTTCAAGGTGAGACTTTTGCTTTTGGACTCACTGCCTATTGCCCAACCAAAACTCTGCGGGAAATAACCCTTGAACTCTGGCACATCTGCATCTGTGATCCCATTTGAACCTGAATATTATGCTCTGGCCAACCATCAGTGCCAGAGCAGGTGACAGGGTCACCAACATCTAGAATCCAAGCAGAAAAGGTGACCACCATTTGGTGGTCCAGTCCCCACCCCTAACACAGCCATAAGGAATAAGATCCTATTTAAAAACATAATAGATATGGGGTAGTGATGGAAAGTGTCTTCTGAATTAATTTAAATCATATTAATGCTTCTAATGAATTAAATCAGATACATTCAACAAAGTTAGGTGAGGGTAACTGGAATTTAGGTTAGCATTGCTAACATACGAAAGTCCTTGTAAGTGAAAATGTCAAGCTTAAGGAACAGTTTACTTAAGTTTATTTTATCTTACACAATTGTTATGAATTTTCACTCTCACTAGCATGTACTCTACTGTAACTTGGTTTTGATAGGGACAGTTGGTTATCTTCAGAAAAGCGATGCCATTTCCCATTAAACTGTACAAGTCACAGTCCTAGAAGCTGTAAATCAGCAGGGCTCTACTGATTTAAACACGTATTAAGTGACCTTATATAAAATAAGCATTTCATTTTTATTTTGATAACAATAATTTCAGGTTCTAAAAGTCCTAAAAGAAACAGATTCTAAACTGCATATTGGAAAATCAGATTTTCTTTCACTTGTACGTATACCAGTAGGTACAAAAGGAATGCTATATGTAAAATAATTTAAGATGTGCGGCCTTTAACATTAACTTATTTTATAATAACACCTTGAAAACAGGAAAATAAGCTATGTCAATTTCATGTCACTAGTCTAATACAAGATATTCCACATATTTCAAATGCTATTACGAGAAAAGCTGGTAAAACTAAAATAGTTGTGAAAGTCTCAGATAAAAGTGTCTCTCATCTCTTTAAAGATTAAATGTTTTGCTGTTACAAATTTCAAAATATAATTATTGTTTCTAGCACACAGTTAAGAATATTTGTAATTGCTACCTTGCTGACCTCTTAAAATTAATTATTTCCATTTTGAAATAATTATGTCTTGAAGTACTCTTCCATTATGCTTTTAAAAAAATCAATACACATCACTTTGGAACTTGTAAGATGCCTGGCAAAAATTCAGGGGTCAATAAATGACAATGTGGGCTACCTGATTCAAATGAGGAATATGTCCTTTTAAAGATTCAGCTTAGCCTAAGTCTTTGCAAAATTACAGACCTCTAACTTCCCTATGATGATTCAGTATGCTAAGAAATTATCTGAATATTGAATGATTTAGTAAGAGTTAAATAAACACTTTATTCTGGCTCATGTTTCCTTAATTCCATATAGTAATCAAACCCGCAGATAAACCAATTATTCTAATCTTTTCTCCACATATAATTAATATGTTTCCATAGCGTAATTATTGATTTTTATTTAGCATCCCCTTTTTGATTTTGCTTCAATACAAGCTTTTCAACCAGAAAGAAAAGAAAAAAAAAAATCACACATCTCCAGCTTCACAGTATTATCTGATCCATAGTAAATACCAGAATTGAATTATGACTTGGGATTTTTGAAATCCCTTGTCAATGTCACATAAAGGAAAATAAAATGTAGGCAACAGCAACACAAAGGCATTTTGCTTTCATATCAGAAATACCAGAATAAGAATATGATTAATAATGCGCTTACAAACTGTTCATGCATTTAACAGTTCTTCTTGTGATAAAATATATTCCAGAAGTATCCAACGACCACAAAATCAGTGTAACAAACCAAATTGGCAAAATACTGGAATTAACTACCAAAAAAAAAATATTCTCCACGTGCATGTAATATATAGCAGCCACAATAACATAAGAGACCGGATCTTAGCCAAAAGTATTACGAGTCATAAGTAGAGAAGGAAAAGAAAACTGATTGCTTCAATATCAGATTTTGTAAAAATGCTGCTTTCAAAATATCAAGGTACTGAGGCAGTTGCTGGTAATTGGTGCTAGTCCCTAATTTAGGCACAGGCACCAAATTGTGCCTTATGTTACGAGTGAGTTTTATCCAGCATGTAGTCCATAAGAGAAAGACAGGCTCCTTAAGAAGGTGTATCTGAGACGGGGGACCACATTTCCTCATTCCCCAGGTAATCCAAGTCATAATTCAGGCATCTAAATGACTGCCTAGTATTGGGTAGAATTAATAGGTTCCAGTGCACTTGGTAAGAACTGAAACAAGGAGACTTGCTGATATCAGAGACACCTGAACTTTTGCAAATGTATGAGACAAATAAGGCTAAGCAAAAACTCAGCATTGTTATCTGAGGTCCTCTGAGCTAATTCTTCATGGAAATTATGTTATGCTTGTCTGTGAGGGGAATAATTGTCTCAAGCAGCACTGGTGTTATAATAGGGCATGAATTATTAGGAATACAAGAGTCCAATGTTTAATAATTGGGCTATTTTCTTGTGAATTTCTCAGGCAGACAAAAATTACTGAATGGTAGAACGACTGAATCCCATGTTACAGCATTACTGAAATAACAGGCCCAAAGCCAAATGACAACAGAAGCATTGATGTGAGAGAGAAGACCTTGAAGGTCACACAACAGCAGACCGAATCTCGGAGACTAAGTGAATGTCGCTAGTTAGCTCACGGTCAATTAAGTATTTAAAATTCCATATTCTATTGAATAAGGTAGTTATTACTGTCAGCTTTGTCAAGGGAGATCTAAAGGAACTGCATGTTTCAGAGCATACTGCATACAAGAACAGCTTGTACAACCACGGAGGTGCGACCAGTTAGGACATAAATCGAAATAGGGAGATCTTTACCAGACCCCTCCTGAGTGACAACTGCAGCAACACAAGGGAAGGCAAGTGCCACCTCAGTGGAAGAAGCCCCTGGGGTACTCAGGTCCCTGCTATGCCACAGAAACCTGATGACCACAGCTTGGCCTGCTGGTCTTCTGGTTCCCACTAGATGTTCCTGGCAGTTTCAGCCTGGAGAGAGGGCTCATGGATTTTCAGTCTAGTTTGGCACTGGCTACATCTCTAATAGCTACAGTGACTTGAACCAGTCAAAAAAAATGGAATTACAGTATCTCTGTTGTCAGAAACAAACACTGTCTAAAGTATCTTCATTTGTAGATATCATAATTTTTAGTTCTTGCTCCATTACGAGCAAAAACTTTTTCTGAAGAGCTTCCCTCATTGTGCTCATAGCTTTGTCTTCTGCCTTGACTTCAGCTGCAACAACCCCTAGACAGAAGTACAACAGCTGTACCTCCTTCTAAAGAGGATACAGCTCCCAAGCCTTTCACACCAGTACTATTGGTAGGATAAATGTCCAAAGTCTTTTAGAAAATCACACTGGAAGTGGTAAGTTCTCTGCCTCACTCTCTGAATGACTTCAAAGAAGGGTCAGACAAATTTCATTTCTCTCTCCACTTTACATACACAGCCTTCATATTCCAGTTCTGCGTTACTTTTCATAGAGTTGGCCCATGAAGCTCAGTTTTCACCATATGACAAATAGCACGCATAATATAGGACTACCATGCTTTAGGTCTATGTCATACCTTGTAACTAAAGCTGAAGATAGAAAATATTGATTACAAAGAACAACAAATTGCAAACTATATCCTAGGATATCCCTCATTAATTTTTACAGAGCTCTGAAACATATTTTCACTGAAAAAAGGGGGTTTTGTTTGACCTTTTAGACATGGTTACCCCATCAAAGATGTTGCAGATGTTCCACTGCCCACAAGTTAACAGACTTCACTTAGCCAGAAGTCTCACGAACAAGGTGAGCTTTTCCTGTAAAGCAATCTATTCTCAAGCTAAAGGTCCACTACAGCCTTTTCTAAAGACTACTGTAGGTGAAGCATCAGTACCTCCTTATTGCATAAGTCTTGGTGAAATGTGAAAACAAAAAAAAAAATGTGCATTATTAAGCTGTCAGACTGCAGTATATTTAACACAGTTTAATTACTGTTTAATTACTGTATTTACTGTAATTACAGCAAAGTTCATTACATCTACAAACACAATAATTGTGCTGTTTCTCTTCAATGAAGAAAAAGGGAAGTTTAAAGTTTTTATCTGTTTTCATCAGCATGTGAGATCATTTTTTCCTTCATCTAAAATATTGGCAGAGCTACGTGGGTGAGTACTTTTAGGTGTTTTATGATTCTTTGCTACCATACATACCAGCTAGGTGTTCTTCCATGGTCTGAAGTTCTTTTGCTGCTAAGGAGTCCTTTAAGAGTTTCTGCCTTGGGGAACCTCCAGGTCTGACACCCATGGCATCCAGGGTCCAAACTGTCTGAGACTTACACAGATAAAAAGAAAAGGGAATACTTTTAATCTAGTTTCACATTTACACGTGAAACAATAAAAAAGGTGGTGTCCCCATTTAGAATAGTGAATCTGGTGCTTTTTATGTAGAATATATAAATAACATTTTATGCAAAATATTACAAAATATCATGTCTTACCTTAAATAACATAAATAGTAGGCATTACTTAAAATCAATGGTTCTAAAGTAATTCAAATATCTACCTTCACACAAGCTCTTGTTCCATGCTGAGACATCATAACAGGACAAATTCTTCAATGATTTACATTCTGTGCAGTTCCAGTTACTTAGTGGGGATTGCACTTACTTTAAACTACCATAACATTTGGCACTGTATCTCTGCAAAACAGCACTTCTGGGAATATTGCAGAATTTCCTAATCAAAATTGCCAGTGCTGTTTTATCACTGCAAGAAATATTCCTTTCAGGAACAGTGAGGTGGGGGTTGGTCTCTTCGGCCAAGTAACCAAGGATAGGATGAGAGGAAATGGCCTCAAGTTGCGCCAGGGGAGGTTTAGATTGGACATTAGGAAAAATTTCTTTACTGAAAGCGTGGTCAGGCCTTGGAACAGGCTGCTCAGGGAAGTGGTGGAGTCACCATCCCTGGAAGCATTTAAAAGACGTGTAGATGCGGTGCTTAGGGACATGGTTTAGTGGGTATGGTATTATTGGGTTGACGGTTGGACTCGATGATCTTAGAGGTCTTTTCCAACCTTAATGATTCTATGATTCTATGATTCTATGATCAGGGCAACACAGCAGTTCGGAAGGGATGCCAGCAAACAGACCACCTCCCCAGTCACTTCACTGCTGAACGCTGTGGTATTCAAAATTATCTGCATTTTCTGAAACCCACTCAATACAGTTTCAAGAAATGATTTTAAAATATACTATGAGGTAAACTTGATACGTTTTTTTAATGCTTGTTTTAAATACACAAAAAATATATGACCAAGCATGCAAGACTTGGTCATAAAAACAACAAACAAAAACATGAATTAAAGCATTCTTAACAGCCTATCTGAAATAAATCTTACATTATTACCTAACCAAAATATTTCATCTGTAGTCTAGGGGGTCTTGTTTATTTCCCAAAAGAAACATGGCTTATGCAATGGTCTCATTGTCATTCACCTCTTACTAATTTTTTAATCTTTCGGTAAATGTTAAACAAATTTAGAGAGGGGCCACGGTTTCAAAGACATTAAGCTAATGCAATTTCAGGGAGAAGAATCATTGAGCAGAGGAGGGAGAGCCAAACTGGTGATGCCATTCATAGAAAGCATACAGGGCTCTGCTGCTACGCAGTCTGCCGGTCTGGAACCGTATCATCAGCAGACATGTGGGTTGCTGCAGATCGCTGCAGCACGTGATGGTACTTTTCTGGCTGGACTCTCATGTCATAGGGAAAGGTGTACCACAGTTCAAAGGGTGAACGTGAAAATACAGGTTTCATATCATCTCTATTCACAACAGATTTGCTTTAATCATAAACACTAAATAAAACATTGTAGCTGCCTTCCCTTTTAGAAAAGTAAGCATAACTCTACAGAATTGAAATGTTATATGGGATGTATTTTACACCATTTAAAATCTGTTCCAAACAAACACTGCCTTGTATGCAACCGATCATTGTGAACCATGTATTTTTAAAATATGTTAACACATATTTATAAAGCAACAGCTATACTGTAAGGCTGCTCATGCGTACATAAAAAACCTAGTTGGATTTACCAGCATATGAAATAGCTCGAAACTGCAGATAATTCTGTTGTTATTAACTCACAACATTTTTAGAACACTAGTGACATTTTTTGATTTGCCAGTTGTTGTTTCTACACTAGTTCTGCTCTGGTTAAAGTTACCCATATTTAATCCCAGATAAATACACACGAACAGCTGAATAAAACAGTAAGTTACTCAGAAGTGGAGCTGATCCTGTAAACACATTTATTTCAGACATATCACTAGACCTGATTCACCTGGTCCCCCAAGAGATTTTGAGCATTTGTCACTTCAGTCCTCATTGTGAACTCTCCATCCAAATCATAATCTGACTTGTTGAGGTCACTACAGAATATTAATCTGTATTAAATTACTCAAATCTTTAAATGTTTATTTCTAATAGATATTAGTTACCCAATATCTATCTCTAGATGGAAGGTTATTTTATTCTGTGAACAATTCCTTTGAAATAAACGAAACCAAATAAGAGATGGGAAGGGGGAATAGAGCCTGTAACAAAACTCTCATATTTTAATTTTTAATCTATTTTTAGATATACTCTTGTCCCCAGATTTTTATGGTGGAAAAAGGCCGTTTGTATATACATTTTATAGTGTATATTTTCATAAGGGGGAAAAAACAGCAGGACTTCAATAATGACTATGGGGGAAAAATCCCCAAGGTTATAAGAATGAATCCTTTTTGAATATACAATTTCATGCACAAATACAGCTCTGATGAAATACGGAAATACTTGAAGACCAAACTGCTCTTCTAATATTCTTAACTCTACTATTCAAGTTTATCATAAGCAAATTATTATGGATTTTCAATAACTCCCTAACCTCCTAAAAACACAGACTTCCAAATGTTCGCCTGGTGAGAGGGTTTCACTCTCCATGTCCTATTTTCTAGAAATGAAATGAAGTTATCTTTCTCTTCTACAAACCTCTGCTGTTTCTTCTTACATTCTATCTTTTCCTTTACTGTACTACTTTCCTTTACGCACAGCAACCATGTAAGACACATACAACTAAGGTGACTGTCTGACTAAAGGCAGCTCTCTACTACCTGTAGTAGAATCTAAGATAAATGGAGAAAAAGTATTCTCTAATGGTAGAATTATATTCTCTAATCATTATAGTGCTTTAGATGTTTATAAAATCATGAGTAATGTTTAAATTAAATCACTTGCAATTAGGAGACTCCAAATCACAAAGATCATCAAACGTCAGCAATACCTTTGTATGTTTCCATACAGGTTTTAAAATCTTATATAAGTTCATGTAAGACGTATAGATATGTCTGTGTATAAGCACATACAGGCACACAAAGGCAGGTATACACATGCATTTAATAAATATTTGTGTCTGCCTTCATCCTGTTAACACACAGCTATAAAGACATACAGAGGTTGTGTTCAGTTCTGGATGTAGCACAGATGTATACATTCTTTCTAAGAATAAATATTAATCTTGTATATGATTTAAAACAAATACATTTACATATATTCAGTTCTCTACCATTACATATTGTTATATGTTCAAACTCCCTTTCAGATACACAGTTCCAACACCCTGTGAAATTAATGAGGTAACTTTGGACAAATTTTTTCCCCAAATTTTGTAACTCTTCCTGTGCATTTTTCTGTTCTATGTAATATCATAAGCTTATAGCATTTTGTCAGGCAATAGCTTCACAAAAGACCAGAACCGTATTGCAATACTAGTTATGAAAGATGAGATATTTAATATTAGCAATTTAATTTCATGATAAATTATGTGCTTATAATAGTGCTTTCCAATTAAACACTCACTTGATAGAAAATAATAATGATCTGGGAAAAAAAAGGTACAAGAGTTTATTAAGACATTCAAATTGTAGTGTAAGCATTTTTTGTTCCTCTTCTGAAGCTAGGTATTTCAGGGCTACAACTAACAACATTTTTGGAGGCAGGCTCAGGTAATGGTTTTTTCTATATTTCTAAATATTAGTGAACATAAAAAAATATTTTTTAACATTTTGAGACTATGAGTTCATCTAAGTGAATAACGCATAAACACAGACAGAGGTCCTCAGTGTCTCCAGCACACAATTTATGCAACAGCCTTATTCCTAAAAGATAAACACAAGCTGAAAGTAGGGGATGCTATCAAGAAGGCTTTGGAAGCATGTCATTTCAAATGCAAGGATAAATGAATTTGTACAGCTCTAGCAGAATTCACTGGTGCCCCTTCTCTCCACTGGATGAATGGCAGCAGTTCAGATATGTCACCTAAGAAAGAGATTCAGGCTTGCAAGCCATTTATTTAAACCTTCTTATTCCACTTCACCAAAATCTATCCTTTGTCTACTGGCCAGGAATTGCAGAGATAAAACACTAATGTCAGTCAACTTGGACTTTAATGATAATGACAGTAGACTGAAAGTAGTTGAAAAATATAGCACATACTTCATAGAATTCCTTCAGTATCTTCCAAACCACAACTGCCCTTCATCACTCATTAAGCTTTATAAATATTAGCACAAAATTTATAAATGGCCTATTTACATTAACAAGATTAACAAGATCTAAACATCCTCATATTTAGATGTCCTGAAAGACATCCTTGTATTTCCAACTTGTAGAAACAGCTCTGTGCCCTGTTCATCACCTTCACACTTTGAAGGTGAGGCAATATCTCTTTGCACCAGAAATATGTCCAAACAAGGCCCTCAGGATACATTTGTCAACTTTTAAGGTCAATTATGTGTCCATTTCTTAAGTGGCTTTTTTTACATATCATCATAATTTCTTCACATACAATACATTCATTAACGCTTTTTTACTTAGATCATTTAGCCAAATTACTGCTAAAATAAAAAATTACAAACAGTAAAGCCAAAGGTAATCTCTCTCATCACTGATTCCCTGAGCTTCTGGAAAATACCATAACTTACTGGGAATGCCACAGTGGAACAGAAATACAATTAAGGAGGTCATCAATAAGAATAAGAAAGTTTTTCCAAGATCACTATATGTGCTTCAATCTGCAACACAATGTTAGTTTGACAGCATGCATCAGTATAGCTTTTATCCCTAAAAAAAAACCAAAACCAAACCAGTGCAGCTGTGAATGTCTTGATCCCACCATCGAGCTGACTTGACATGAGCTGTGTAATACCCTCTGACACCTGGGGAGTTCTACAGAGGTGCAACATTTCAGAATAGCTGAGGCCTCCAACTTACCTACAACATCATCTGGAA